TAAAGAGTGTTGTCAGTGTTTCTGTTCTATTCCCAGCCTTCAGCCTTCCTATATTTCTGGGCCTCAGAAGGATGCTGTCTGCATGCTCTGGCCTTCCTCAGTGCTAGACTCCTGTGCCTTCCACTTGGCCTTGCTAGTTGAGGGGTGGCAAGGATGACCTTCCCTCTTTTCCTTGTTCAGCCTTGATCTCGGGCACCGCCTACGGCCTGGCTCTCAGAGGTGGGTTTGCTCAGTGATAGTGTCGCCCCCTCAGGCCTATGTAGATGTAACCGTCTTGTTAAATAAGAAACACAGAGCCAAATACAGAGTTAAAAGTCAAGAGGTCAGAGCAATAGCTAAGAGCTGAGATTAAAAACCTTACCCTTCACTGCCGCTGCTGTCCTACCTCTCCGCAAGAGACCTACTTCCTGTGTGTTTGTCCTTTTTATTGACTTTCTATTTCTGTCTTCTCATTGGTTGTAAACCCAACCACATGACCTCCTCTTCACTGCCCATCTATACAGACCTCCAGGTCTTCTATGGTTGGTATTGAGATTAAAGGCGTGTGTCTCCATGCTGGTGGTATCCTTGAACACACAGAGATCTACCTGTTATGTGATTGGGATTAAGGGCATGTGCTACCACTGCCAGACTTTTGGTATGGCTTGCTATTAGCTCTGACCCCCAGGCAACTTTATTTATTAACATACAAATAAAATCACATTTCAGTACAAATAAAATATCACCGTAGGCCTACATGTTGCTAGAGTTTTCCTGCCTGGCCCACAGTCAGGACAAATCTCTCTCACCCGCCAGTCCCAAGCCCCTCAAACCCGATCAAGTAAACACAGAGACTTATATTGGTTACAAACTGTATGGCAGTGGCAGGCTTCTTGCTAACTGTTCTTACAGCTTAAATTAATCCATTTCTATTAATCTATACCTTGCCACATGGCTTGTGGCTTACCGGTACTTTATATCTTCCTTGTCCTGATGGCGGCTGGCAGTGTCTCCTCCACCCAGCTTCCTGTTCTCTCAATTCTCCTCTCTGTTAGTCCCGCCTATACTTCCTGCCTGGCCACTGCCAATCAGTGATTTATTCATTGACCAATCAGCAACACATTTGACATACAGACCATCCCACAGCACCTACATGTTTTTCTTTTTTCTTTTCTCCTTTGACTCTTCTTTCAGCCCGTATGAGAGAGACAAGACTGATTTCTTCACTCTCAGTCACAGGTTACCTTTGTTCTTTCTAAGAGAGGGCCCCAGCTGAGCTCCCTGTTCTTTGACCACATGGACTGGGCTCCTCCTCCTGGCTTCCTACTCTGGGCCCAGATTCCATCAGGGCAATCCAGTGGAGGCTTTCAAGGAAGAGCCTGTGATTGAGTACCAGCTCCACTTGGGTGTGTGGGCCCAGAGCTTTCCATTCTTAGGCTAACCCACACTAGGCTTTGGACAGTTACTTTAGATGTAGCTGAGGGTTTTTTGTTTTTTGGTTTGTTTTTTTTTTTAAATTTTATTTTGTTTGTTTTGAGACAGGGTCTCAAAATGTAGTCTTGGATAGCCTGGAATTCACTGGAATAAGCCGGTCTCTAACAGAGATCACCTGCCTCTGCCTCCTGAATGCTGGGATTAAAGGCCTCTGCCACCATTCCTGGCTTACGAATTCTTGTCTGTTTGTATTACACTCAGTGGCTCTTCCTGTCACAACCCAGCAAGTGCTCATGTCCAGTTTCCTGTTTGATGGGCTTCTCTTCCTTATTCTTTATACTTTGCTGCACTGTGACCTCAGCCCTGACAATGTTATTTGTTGTCAGGCTTTTCCTTACTGTTAAAGTGCATGTGATATCCTTTCCAACTCTCTGTACTCTAAGGGAAGCCTCAAACTCCTGGATTTTATTTTGACTGTCACACAAAACCCAGAACAGGCCAGGACTGTTCCTCCTTCATGGCTTAGCAGGTAAAAGTGCGGCCTCACAAGCCTAGGACCTGGGTTAGATCCCTGAAACTCACATAAAGAGCTCATGCAGTAGAGCATGCTTTCTATTGTTTTGTTGTTTGTTAAGATGGGGTCTCGTTATGCGGCTCTGACTGGCCTGGCATTTACTATGTAGACCAGGCTGGCCTTGAACTCACAGAGATCCACTTGTTTTTGTGCTAGAATTACAGTCTCACACCACCGCATCCAAGTGGTACATATCTGTAATGCCAATACTTTTATAGCAAATCCTCTGGAAGCTGGTAGGCCAGCCAGCCTGGAACATCCAGCTCAGAGACAAGGTAGGAGGAGAGAACTGACCTCCATGGCCATACTGTAGTATGCCTGCATGTGCACACACACAATTTTTAAAAATAAAAAATACAGGGGGCTGGAGAGATGGCTCAGAGGTTAAGAGTACTGACTGTACTCCCAGAGGTCCTAAGTTCAATTCCCAGCAACCACATGGTGGCTCACAACCATCTGTAATGAGATCTTGCGCCCTCTTCTGTATACATAATAAATAAATAAATTTTAAAAAATAAAAAAATAAAAAGTACAATAAAAATATAAAATTAAAAAAAAAAAAACTGTGTGGAGATGACTTCACGATTAAGAGCATTTGCTATTCTTGCAGAAAACCCAGGTTTGATTTCAAGCACTCACATGGCTGCTCACAAACGGCTGTAATTCCAGTTCCTGGAGCTCTGATGCCTTTCTTTGGCCTTTGCTGGCACCAGTCATGCATATAATATATGTATACACTTGCAGGCAAAATACTTATACACTAAAAAATAAATACTAAGAAAAAAAATTTTAACCCCCCAAATCCAAAATACACCCAGAATATTCACTGGTTGCCAGGCTCTGGGCTGACAGAATCTGTCTTGGTTTGAAGGGATTCTTTCTAGCATTTTATTTAGTTTTCTGGAACTTGCCACCTAAGCTTTGCTGGTGGGAGGCTTTGCTTGTAATTAATTGGCATCTTAAACAAGTGTCTCTAGTATGGAAAGAAAGTGACGAATGCTGCCAGACTCCTACCACTAGACAGGACTGGCACTTTCATCTTTTTGTCTTCTTGTCTTCTTGCCCCTTTGCCTGTCCATTAACATCTCATTCTGCAGGTTTATGTTCATACTATGGACTTCTCATTTCTTTCAGAAAATTCCCATTTGCTTAAGTTTACTATAGCTAATTTCTGTCACTTAGATCCAAGGGTACCTAACTGATAAAGAGAAGAAGCACAGCTTTGTTTCGGGGAGTTTATAGCTTAGAATAGGAGCACTGGAAATGGAGCTCAATGGCAGAACACTTGGAGCGTGTACATGAGGCCCTACCTGGGTTCAGTCTCCAGCACCACAAAACACAAAAGAATATAAGTGTAAACAATACTGTAGTCTCCCTTTCTTTCTAGGGAATTCATTATAAAATGCTCAGAGGATTCCTAAAACTGGATGACCCCAAGCCCTGTGTAGCCCTTGCTTTCCCCCATATACCCTGCAGTGTTACCTGCTGCATGGCACTAGAATCAACCTGTCTGTCCATGTCTATGCCCTGGTGCCTTCTTTGCATCATACTCTTGTGCTTTGGTCTGTTATTGAAAAAAACAATTATATATATTTATGTTATATAAAAAAAAAATGATTACATAGCCAGATACAGTGGCTCACGCCTTTAATCCCAGTACTCAGGAGGCAGAGGCAGGCAGATCTCTGTGAGTTCAAGGTCAGCCTGGTCTACATAGTGGGTTCCAGGACAGATGGAGCTGTATAGTAAGATCCTGTCTCGAAAACAAACAAAAAACAAAGAATGTGGTCACTTGAACATAAGCCTGCAATATTTCTACATTCATTATATTCCCAAAACTAAGATGTCTAAGTGACTAATGTATGAGTAGCATATACAGTGTGGATGTATTGGACAAAGGATGATTCATATGCAAGGTGGACAGAGCAGGATGGTGTAAGATTTTATCAGCCTATTAAGAATAACATGCAGTTTAGAACTCACAAATTATTTCTGGGACTTTGCATTTTATTTGTCAGACTGTAGAGGAGCCAAGCTAAGTGACACTGTGGATGTGGAAACCAAAGGTAAGGCACCTAGAAGACAGCTGAGGCCGAATGCAAGCAAAGCGGTCTAGCCAAGATGCACAATCAAAGGGTCATCTGATTTGTTTCTTAAGTACCAGATAGTAAATGTTTTAGTCATGAGGCCATATGAACTCCGTCGTCATCCCTCAGCTCTGCCATTGTAATACAAAGTAGCCTGGACCATATGCAAGCGAATGAGAGCAGCTGCACTAACGAAACTTTATACAGGTATAAGCCAATCCTGGTATAGCCTAGAGTATTTGGAGGCCCGTGGTCTATTTATCCATCTGTGGTTCTTGGCGATTGCCAGAGTTTCAACTTGCTCTTTGTTGTTGTTTACTTTTAGATTTTTAAAGAGATGTTTTCTTTTAAAAATTATTTTTATAGTACATGTGTGTCTGTGTCTGTGTCCGTATGCGTGTGTAAGAGGTCAGAGGATAACTTGGGAGTTGGTTCTTTCCTTCTACCATGTGGGATCCAGGGACTGAACTCAGGTTATTAGGGCAAGTGTCTACCCATTGAGCCTTTGAGCTGGCCCTTAAAATTTATTTTTTATTTTTATTGATATATGTGTGTGGGTGCCTATGGGTGGCCAGAAGAGGGCATAGGATCTCTTGGAATTGGAGTTAAAGGTAATCGTGAGCAGCCTGACATGGGTGTTTGGGAAGTGATCTCTGGTCCACTTCAGGAGCAACAAGCACTCATAACAGCTAAGCTATCTCTCAGCCTCTGTTTTTGTTTTTGGAGATAGGGTTTTACTCTAGCCTGGGCTAGCCTGGAACTCACTCTGTGACCCAGGCTGGTCTTGAACTTATAGTAATCATCCTGCCTTAGCCTCCTAAGTGCTGAGACTGCAGCATAAGCTCTGTATGCAGCTTCATAGCTCCGTGTCTTTCACATGAACATTGACAATGGTACAATTCTTTCTGCCTACCCTTCTGTTGCAGAAGCAAAACCAGCCCCAGAAATATTTGAAAATGAAGTCCTGGAACTGCTGAGAGAGTTCGCGAAAAACAGAAACAAAGAGCAGAGACTGCGTGCCCCAGATCTGGAATATCTCTTTGAAAAGCCTTGGTAGACTGTGTGCCACTGTCCGTCATGGTGGTTAGTATATGGACAGAAACTGCTTCTGGTACAGACTTTGGCTTCCTGCTTTTCCTTAGGCCCTTGAACCTCTACCAGGACAGACATGTAATATGAAGATGATACACTCATTCTAACCTGCACTTGTCTGTACAGCACTGGTCGACCCCTTCTCCGGCTGCTATGTGCTGTGGTGCAGGTCTGCCACAAGAGGGCACTGTAGGGGAAGCAATTCAGCTGCCTCAGCCCCAGCAGTACAAAAGATGCAGCTGCTATATGAAGAGCCACCCACCCCACCCCACCCCACCCCACACCCAGTGCCCTGGCCTTTGTTAAGGTAAAACTGCCTTCTTCCAACCTGGTGTAGTTTTTTCTGCCAGAGAGAGCCAGTCCAAGCCCCTGAGCTGAGCCTGTCAAAGGCATAGCAAGCTGAATGAGGCACACCAATGGTGTGAGCACGCTGCTTAAGTCAACATCCTCATCAGATTTTCTTCACAACACACACTTTGTAAACCGAAAGGTAATTGAATATTGAAGGATATCAAGACAAGGAAATTGAAAGTTTTCTAACCCTTACAATAATTATCTTCATTTGGTCTGTTCTGTGCAACCATAGTAATGCTTATAATGGGGTTTTACAAACTTACAGGGTTTCTGACCTTGTGGCACTGTGGCAAACTTTTCCTCTCATTTCTACAGCCTTTAAAATTATTTTAGTTGACCAAATAATGATGACACTTAAGAAATAACATGTTAACTGGGTGTCATGGGTCATGCCTGTAATCCTAGCCCTTGGGGTCTGAGGTAGAAGTATCACCAAGAGTTTGAAGCCAGCCTGGGCTATAAAGTGAGTTTGAGGCCAGCCTGGACCACACTGTTAGAATGAAGTAGCTGGGAGGCCTGTGCATTGCTGAAGGTGTTCTCTCTTTAGGAGCTCTGCTCTCAGCTGAGGAGAGGCAGTTATTGGCCAAGAAGTGAAAGTCATGGCTGGAGAAAAGCAGGCCAGAACTGATAAACATGAGCTTGGTAACGATAAGAGCTGTAGGCAAAGAGGAACAAAAGAGTTCCCTGGCCAGAGGAGGAAGTGGGGAAACCAGCCTTCAGTTACCTCTCAGCACTCCCACGGACAGGTGGCATTAGGCCTGTTTATAGACGAGAGAGTTGCCATGGAAGGAGTGAGTAATACATTCTTTATCAAAAGCCAGAATTTGGGGCTGGAGAGATAGCTCAGTGGTTAAGAGCACTGGCTGGCTGCTCCTCCAGGGGACCCAGGCTTACTTCTTAGCACCTACATAGTGGCTCATAACTGTCTGTAACTCCAGTTCCAAAGGAGCCAATGCCCTCTTCTGGTCTCTGGGCACTGCATGCACATGCTATATGGACATACGTGCAGGCAAAATGCATAGAATAAAGTATGGGTTGGAGAGATGGCTCAGCAGTTAAGAACACTGGCTACTCTTCCAGAGGACCTGGATTCAATTTCCAGCACTCAAAAGGCAGCTCACAACTGTCTATAACTCCAGTCCCAGGGGAATCTGACACCATCACACAGACAAAATGACAAAGCACCTTAAAATAAATAAATCGGGGCTGGAGAGATGGCTCAGTGGTTAAGAGCACTGGCTGCTCTTCCAGACGACCTGAGTTCAATTCCCAGCACCTACATGGTGGCTCACAATGATTTATAATGCAATCTGGTGCCCTCTTCTGGCATGCAGGCAGAACACTGTATACATAATAAATAAATAAATCTTTAAAAAGTAAATAAAAAAGAAAAAGAAAAACTAGAATTTATTACTGTTTGATTTAGCTTTCTGCTAGATGACAGGGCTTCTTCACTTCTGGACACTGCACTGGAAAAGAGAAGGCAAGTAAATAAATGACCGTCTGAGACCCCAGGTCTGAGGTGAGTAGGCTACCAGCTACTTCCCAAATGAGGGCATTCCCTCACCTTGGCCACCCAGAACAGCTCTGGTAAGGGAGAAATGTTGGGGAATATTATTTTAAGGTATGTTACTTTTGTTTATGTTGCATTTTTTTTTTTTTAAACTCTGTGAAGCTGTGTTACTGTGCCTGTCTAAAACCCCTGATGGGAGCCAGGTGGCGGTGGTGCACGCCTTTAATCCCAGTGTTCGGGAGGCAGAGCCAGGTGGATCTCTGTGAGTTTGAGGCCAGCCTGATCTACAGAGCGAGATCCAGGACAGGCACCAAAACTACACAGAGAAACACTGTCTCGAAAAACCAAAAAATAAAACACCTGAAAGTCTAATAAAGATCTGAACAGCCAATAGCGAGGCAAGAGAAAGGATAGGCGGGGTTGGCAGCCAGAGAGAATGAAAAGGAGGAGAAATCTGGGAGGGGGGGGGAGGAGGAGGAGGAGGAGGAGGAGGAGGAGGAGGAGGAGCCCAAGAAAGAAGAGGACTCCAGGGGCCAGCCACCCAGCTACACAGCAAGCCATGGAGTAAGAGTAAGATTTACAGAAGTAAGAGAGTGGGAAAAGCCCAGAGGCAAAAGACAGCCGGGTTAAGTTAAGGAAAGCTGGCTAGGAACAAGCCAAACTAAGGCCGGACATTTGTAATAAAGAAGCCTCCATGTGTGATTTATTTGGGAGCTGGGTGGCGGGCCCCCCAAAGAACAAAAACAAACCACAACAGGAAGCAGTGCAGCACGGTGGTTGCAAGTTCAAGGCTTCCCTTCATTGCTTAGCTGCTGAGTAAACTCACTGGCCTAAGCTTTGGTTTCTAACTAAAGGGAGCTTTAATACATAACACTGGGATGGCTCCTAGTGCACGGCACCATAGGATGACAGGAGCCTTTGCTTGTAGCCTCACCCTGAGACTTAGAGCCTGTCTTCTAACAGATTGCCTATCATCAGTTGCATGCATACATGCAGGGCAGTTTCATCTGAAGGTCAGAAGGCTGAGCCTATTAAAGTAACCACAGAGTGCCTTACCAACCAGTGGAAACTGGAAAAGGGAAAAAAAAAAAAAAACTACCTTGGTGACAAGTCCTTTGATGGAAAAGTATAGCTCTCACTTAAGCAAGGAATGGGAATGAGACCTAGGGAGTAGAAGCAGGAGGTTAGAGGTGCTGGCCCTTTGCTTGGGCTTCTGATGTCCCTCGGGGGGAGTGCTAAACAGACAGGGTTTATATATAGAAACATCTGGACTGTAAGGAGTGCACAGGAATTGCTAGCACCTTCCCTATTTATCCTGAGTACCTTATACAACAAGCCCCAGAAGCCAAGTATGCAGTGTTGGCTCTCCTCAACTCTGATCCCTTCTTACCCTCATTTCATCTCATTTCAGTGTTCAGTTGCTGTCACTTGTACCTGAGAAGGGCATGCTTCTAAAGGGATTGTTTTCCTTCCAGGCTGCTGGTTTGTGTAATCTTTGAAAGTGAAGGATCTTGCTAACTTCAGCTGCTTAGTGTCAAGCCCAAGGGTGCTATGTAAACAGCTTTCCCCTTTGTTAGGCATTAAGGAAAACTAGGCCGGCCACAGTGCATTTTCAAAAAAATTAATAAACGTATCACCGGGGCCAGCAGCTCCCCAGGAGCCACAAGAAGCACCAGCTAGACTCATTGTTTTCAGTTTGACATGTTGCTTGCTGACCTCATTCAGAGCCTGCATCAGGCACATGAGCCTCTGACCTGCCCAGAGGTCTGCACTGGACCTGTGGGTCCTGTAGATGTATCCAACCTTCTTATTAAATAATAAACACAGAACCAATGCAAAGAAGAAAGCCAAGAGGTCAGAGCTAAGAGCTAAAACCTTACCCTTCCTCCTGCGGTGGTCCTACCTCTCCGAACCAGAGCTACCCCTGTGTTAAAGTCTTTATATAGAGTTCCTGTCCTGCCTTCTCATTGGTTGTAAACCCAACCACATGACCGCCTCCTCACAGCCTGTCTGTATAGGCCTCCAGGGTTTCCATGATTGGTATTAAGGTTAAAAGCATGTGTATCCAATAATGGCTGTATCCCTGAACACACAGAGACTTACCCAGCTCTGCCTACCAAGTGCTGGAATTACAAGCGTACGCTACCACTGCCCTGCTTTCCTATGGCTTGCTAATAGCTCTGACCCCCGGGCAACTTTATTTATTAACATACAAATAATATTTTAATACAAATAAAATATCACCATAGGGTCCCCTTGCACAGGCTTCTCCGGAAACATCAAACCAGGTCAAGGCTGCTTCCTTCCCATCACTTCCTCCCTTCGTTGTTTTAAGTTGTACCCAGGCTTTCCCTGGTGGGTGAGTGTCTCTTGTGGCTGCCATTGGAGAGGCATCTCTTATTGACATGGAGCACCAGCTGGAGATCATCCACCCTCTTTCTTCAGCTCTCACCAAGGCGGCAGTGGCACAACCTGGCTTATATTTTTAAGCATCAGTGGGGAAGGAGACTCCTCTGAGATAGTTGAGAGCTTCACATTTATCCTTCAGTCCACCTGCCACTTTGTGGCTAGACAGGGAGAGGAGAGCTTTGTAGTAAGTAAGCCCAGAGCCAGGTAGAGTGCCACTCACCTGTAAGCCTAGCATTCAGGCAGCTGAGATAGGAAATAACTGTGAGTTTAAGGTTAGCCTGGGTTACATAGTTAATACCAGCCCAACCAGGGTTATGGAATAAAGCTCTATCTCCACTAGATGTCCACCTCTGGCCTTTACAGACATGTGTGCACACCCGTTCACACAGACAAACACACATGTTTGCATGTACACTAGCACTGATGAGCACGACCATTCATACACAAAGGTAAGTCAAACAGCCTAATATGATAAGGTCAGTGAGACTGGGAAGCTGAAAGTCCCCCTTGTTAGTACAGCCCATCATTTGTAGGATACTGAACTTTCTTGTCCTGCGGCTAGCCATTTGAGACTAGCCAGGTGACACCTGAGTTTCCCAGCAAGCTCTGTGGGGATGGGCTGTGTAAGCCTCTATCCCCATCTAGTAAAACAGCATGGGTGGATGGGTAGCTTCAAATAGGGGCTCTCAAACATCTAGCCACACCTGGTGATACATATGGACCAGAGCGCAGTGAGATCCTGTTTCCAAAGATGAACTTTAAAAAGCAGTCAATTGGGAGAAATGTAGACATCTGAGCTGTGAAAGTATCAATCTTGAAAAAAGGAGATGTGTAGAAAATTCTGACCCATGATGAGTGATGTCCAGGTCCCAGGCTGCACCTGAATCTAGAGGTTCCTGGCCAACATGAGAGTATTGTCTGCAAAATGTGAAATTGGCACACCATTTTACATAACTAGCCAGCACTGCATATGATTCTTTGTTTTTGTTGCTGTTAATTTTTTTTTTTTTTTTTTTTTTTTTGGTTTTTCGAGACAGGGTTTCTCTGTGTAGCTTTGCGCCTTTCCTGGAACTCACTTGGTAGTCCAGGCTGGCCTCCAACTCACAGAGATCCGCCTGGCTCTGCCTCCCGAGTGCTGGGATTAAAGGCGTGCACCACCACTGCCCGGCTGTTGCTGTTAATTTTAGACAGGGTCTCATTTAGCCCAGGCTAGTCTTGAGCTTGATATGACCTTAATCCCTGATCCTCATGCCTTTACCACATGCTGAGACTCCCACTGTGTGCTGTGAGGCCGGTGATATGGCTCAGCTGGTAAAGGGGCTTCTGCACCAAGCCGTAACTGACTCCTCCAAGTTGTCCTCTGACCTCCTCACACATGTTGGGGCACTCACACAAAATACAGGTGTGCGCTGCCATACCCAGCTTGTCTGTGTTTAATAGTGAGATTTGCCTGTGGGGGCTGGAGAGATGGCTGAGTGGTTAACAGTGATTGTGCTCTTGCAGAGGACTCAGGCTTGGTTCCTAGTTTGGCACCCATGTTGGACAGATCACAACTTCCTGTAACTCAGCTCCAGAGGGATCCAGCCTCTCTGGCTTCCATGTACACCTGCATGTAGCTAGAGTTTTCCTGCCTGGTTCACAGTCAGGACAAATCTCTGACACCCGCCAGTCCCATAGCCGTCAGACCCAACCAAATAAACACAGAGACTTATATTGCAAACTCTATGGCCGTGGCAGGCTTCTTGCTAACTGTTCTTACAGCTTAAATTAATCCATTTCCATTAATCTATACCTTGCCACATGGCTCATGGCTTACCGGCATCTTTACATGCTGTTTGTCATCATGGCGGCTGGCAGTGTCTCTCTGCCTCAGCCTTCCACTTCCCAGCTCTATTCTCCTCCTTGTCCCGCCTATACTTCCTGCCTGGCCACGGGCCAATCATTGATTTATTTATTGACCAATCAGCAACACATTTGACATACAGACCATCCCACAGCACCTGCACTCACATGCACATACCCCACACAGACTCATAATTTAATATAATAAAAATTTGGATCAAGAGAGACGGCTCAATGGTTAAGAACAATTGCTATTCTTGAAGAGGACCCAAGTTCAGTTCCCAAAACTCAGGCAGCTCATAACCACTGTAACTCTAGCTCCAGGGCATCTGACCTCCTGATGTCAGAGGGCATCTGTACAAGTGCACACATACACACCACACACACATTTTTAAAAAAAAATGTAAGCTAAAAAAAGTGCCTATTTTACCCTAGAACACATACAGGGAAAATAACAAAGCTGTTAAGAGCAGGCATTTGGGAATTGGGGATCAGAGTATGGCTCAGTGGTTAAGCACTTGCCTAGCATGCATGAGATCTTAGGTTCAATTCCTAGTCCTGCAACAAATCTGTAAAACTAAAGCAGTGGGTCTGGAGAGATAGGCTAGGGCTTAAGAGCACTGATTGCTGCTCTTCCAGAGGACCTG